GTCCAAGGCTATACAGGCGCGTGTGTGCAGAGTCAATGTTGGGAACTTTGCATCGGTAGCTGGGACATTGGCAACCGAGAACACAGCAGCAGCAGCACACATCACAGACGCGTGAGCGCTCTTCGCTTTTTAAATCCTTTATATTAAGTTCACTTGCTTGCTTGCTTGCGCGCTTACGACCGTGCAAATCTTTCGGTCGTTTTTTTAACCCACTTCCCGTGATCCAATCGAGCTGACATTTTGCACACAGACTCGTTGTGCGTGACAATTTATTTTCGTGAAAATTTTTTTTCCAAAATGTTCCACTTTTTAGGGAAAAAAAAATGCATATTTAATTTAAAATACCAATGTGATAAACATGAAACTCTTACTCAAGAAAAACAGAAATGAATAATAAAATAAAACCGATGCCACGCATATTAAGGCTTTATAGTGAAAAACGTAGTTTTAACGTTTTTATTTATTTATTTAACATGACCCTGACACCACGCACGCGCACGCACGCAGGCGCGGTCTCTACGCGTGACCCGTTACGACGATACAGACGCAGAGAAAAGTGACCATCCTGGCGAACCAGCTGTGTTTAAAAAATAACCCGAATAAACACCTGTAGGCGTGTTCACGCGTGTTGTGTGCGTGTTCACGCGTGTTGTGTGCGTGCATGTGTGTTCACGCGCGCTGTGTAAGTGTTCACGCGTGCTGTGTGTGTGTTCACGCGTGCTGTGTGTGTGTTCACGCGTGCTGTGTGTTCACGCGTGCTGTATGTGTGTTCACGCGCGTTGTGTGTGTTCACGCGTGCTGTGTAAGTGTTCACGCGTGCTGTGTGTGTTCACGCGTGCTGTGCAAGTGTTCACGCGTGCTGTGTAAGTGTTCGCGCGTGCTGTGTAAGTGTTCACGCGTGCTGTGTTCACGCGTGCTGTGTAAGTGTTCACGCGTGCTATGTTCACGCGTGCTGTGTGTGTTCACTCGCTGTGTGTGTTCACGCACTGTGTATGTTCACGCGTGCTGTGTGTGTGTGTGTTCACGCGTGCTGTGTTGACGCGTGTAACTGCGCGAGCTTCATGTTCACCGTGTGCGAAAGAAGTCCAACATATATACACACACGCCTACAATATACACGTGTGTTCACGTGTATTGTGTAGGGAGCGGTTTAACACGCTGTGCTACGAACCCGACGACCCGGGTCCGATTCCCGCTCGCGGTCAACAGCAGCGACGATTATCTGAACCAGTAACCTGCGCCTCCTCTAGGTCGACTCGGCCTCAAATGTTTACCCGGTGCGTAAAAACATCGCTACTGGGGGAGACAAAGGCGGCCGGACGTGGTGCCTGGCCACCCACGCCGTCGTGTGCCACGGTGCCGGCCTTCAAAGGTGGCTACTCGCTAACAGCACTTGCCCCAACAGTCTGTTGAGGCTACACGGGGTGAGTGGGGAGCGCACGCCATCGACGCGCCCAGCCGGCCAGTGACAGGGGGGGGGGGGGGTTTGAGGGTCACGCGGGGGGGGGGGGGGGGTTGAGGGTCACGCAGGGGGGGGGGTTGAAGGTCAGCGGAGTCGATGTCTCTCGGTTTTCATCACCACCTCGGCCGCCTCTGCTGCTCGCTCGTCGGGGGTGGAGCGATCGATCGAGCGATCGATCGAGCCATCGATCGAGCCAGTGAGCAATCCATAGATCGAGCCATCGATCCAGCGAGCGATCGAGCCATCGATCGAGCCATCGATCCAGCGAGCGATCGATCGAGCCGCTTGACCGCTCTGCCGGCAGCAGTGAAGCCAGGTCGACTCAGCTGACCACCCACTCCGCCCTCCGTCTCGTCAGCCGCGGTGCCCACGGGAGCCACGTGTAAACAAGAACCCACGTGCTCACACAGCGTCACAGCTCACCCCGCATTTGCATGTCGCCCGGCGCCGTAGCCACCCACGCCTGTTGGTTTTTCCAGAGCCACAGCCCCGGCTATTATCGCCCTCTTTGTAATTGCATCACAAAGACAAAGATTCCTCTCCCACCCCCCGTATAGCCTTTACCGGACCTTTGGGGCAAGTGCTGTTCGCGTGTAGCAGCTACGAAGGCCGGCACGGCGCACGAGGGGGTGGGTGGCCAGCAGCACCACGCCCGGGCCGCCTTTATCTCCCCGAGTGGCGGTGTTTAACACGTTGCACGAGTCTTCTTGGTTCTTTCGGTAAAGTCACGTAGAATGGAAATAATAAAATAATAAAAATAAAACATTCTAACATAATTCTCACGACGTTTCGGCCACAACGCAAGCAGCCGTCCTCGGGTGAAAAACAGGTCTGTCAGAAAGACAGCGTCTGAATGAGTCTTTCTGACAGACCTGTTCTTCACCCGAGGACGGCTGCTTGCGTTGTGGCCGAAACGTCGTGAGAATTATTTTATTATGTTTTATTATTTTATTATTTCCCTTCTACGTGACTTTACCGAAGGAACCAAGAAGATGAATCCCTGCAGTCACGAAAGCTTTAAAATAATTTTATTATGTTTAGTTTTTATTATTTTATTATTTCCCTTCTACGTGACTTTACCGAAAGAACCAAGAAGATGAATCCCTGCAGTCACGAAAGCTTTAAAATAATTTTATTATGTTTAATTTTTATTATTTTATTATTTCCCTTCTACGTGACTTTACCGAAAGAACCAAGAAGATGAATCCCTGCAGTCACGAAAGCTTTAAAATAATTGTATTATGTTTAATTTTTATTATTTTATTATTTCCCTTCTACGTGACTTTACCGAAAGAACCAAGAAGATTAATCCCTGCAGTCACGAAAGCTTTAAATCGAAACATTGCATGAGGTTGAGTCGACCTAAAGGGGAGAGGCTCAGGATCGGTTTCGAGACGATCGCCGTCAAAGTTATTTGGTCTTGAGCGGCAATCGTGGTCCCACCACGCAGTGCACACTCGCGATTTGACGCACAGCGCACAAGGAACACCACGTGGAGCGCACCCACAAAGTCTCTGCACGATGAGCACGTGAGGCCCTCCTTCTCCAGACACGCGTGCCGCCGTAAACCCATCGTAGCAGCGCGAGTAATGGACGTGCTTAATGGGTGCTGAGAGCCCCCCCCCTCCCCCATTAGCCACGACTCAGTTCCCCCGATGGGGGTGGGGTCTAGTGGGTAGTGAGTGAGGGGGGGGGGGGGGTGAGAAAGTGCAGCTGTGTGCGGTGTTTTGGGGAGCGGTGGTATAGTGGTTAGTGCACTGCCTCCGCGAGGTTGGCCACCCGAGTTCGATTCCCGCTCACGGCCACCCAGCACCACACCAGGGGTCTCCTGCACATGAGGGGTCTCCTGCACACCAGGGGGTCTCCTGCACACGAGGGGGTCTCCTGCATACCAGGGGGTCTCCTGCACACCAGGGGGTCTCCTGCATACGAGGGGGTCTCCTGCACACCAGAGGGTCTCCTGCACACGAGGGGGTCTCCTGCACACGAAGGGGTTTCCTGCAAACGAAGGGGGTCTCCTGCACCAAGCTTCAAACGAGTAGCTAGGGAGACAAAGGCGGCCGGGCGTGCTTTGCTGACCCACGTGGCGACGTGCTGACCGGCCTTCAAAAGGCGCGGGGCTGCTCGCGAACGGCACTTTGCCCCCAACGCTCGGGCCGAGGCTACCCGGGGGACCTTTGCCTTTGCCGTGTTTGTCATGGCCAAGGTCCGGGTGACGCTTGCGCAAACGAAGCCGTTCACCCCGGCCGCCCGGTCCGGTGACATTCCGTGCGTGTGTGTCTCTGTGTGTCTGTGTGGTCTGTGTGTGTGTCTGTGTGATCCGTGTGTATGTCTGTATGTGTGTCTGTGGGTCTGTGTGTGTCTGTGTGTGTGGTCGGTATGTGTGTCTTTGTGTGTCTGTGTGTCTGTGTGTGTCTGTGTGTCTGTGTGTGTGCCTGTGTGTGTCTGTGTGATCCGTGTGTGTGTGGTCCGTGTGTCCGTGTGGTCCGTGCGAGCCTGTGTCTATAACGCGTCATGCGCGTGTGTGTGTGTGTCGCTCGCCATTGTGTCACTGTGTCAGCGTGTGTCATTGTCCGCGAGTGTGTGTACAGGTGGGTGGGGGAGCTGCAGTGTCAGCGGTTGGGGTGTGCGTATGCGGCTTCGCGTCCGTGCGTTTATAATCGTCCTTATACAATTGGGGTTAGCGTCCAGGTGTGCCAGTGTACAGGTGTGCCAGTGTACAGGTGTGCCAGTGTACAGGTGTGCCAGTGTACAGGTGTGCCAATGTACAGGTGTGCCAGTGTACAGGTGTGCCAGTGTACAGGTGTGCCAGTGTACAGGTGTGCCAATGTACAGTTGTGCCAGTGTACAGGTGTGCCAGTGTACAGGTGTGCCAGTGTACATGTGTGCCAGTGTACAGGTGTGCCAGTGTACAGGTGTGCCAGTGTACAGGTGTGCCAGTGTACAGGTGTGCCAATGTACAGGTGTGCCAGTGTACAGGTGTGCCAGTGTACATGTGTGCCAGTGTACAGGTGTGCCAGTGTACAGGTGTGCCAATGTACAGGTGTGTCAGTGTACAGGTGTGCCAGTGTACAGGTGTGCCAGTGTACAGTTGTGCCAGTGTACAGGTGTGCCAGTGTACAGGTGTGCCAGTGTACAGTTGTGCCAGTGTACAGGTGTGCCAGTGTACAGGTGTGCCAGTGTACAGGTGTGTCAGTGTACAGGTGTGCCAGTGTACAGGTGTGCCAGTGTACAGGTGTGCCAGTGTGCAGGTGTGCCAGTGTACAGGTTTGGCACATTGTCCCTTTGTAACACGAAGAGACAGAGAGAAAGAGAGACGTCTGTCCACCACGGGGGAAATAATTCCCAAAGTGCGTTTCAGCTCTAACATTCGCGATCAAGCGTGTAACCCCCCCCCTTCGGCTGCCCGCCCTTGACGCGGCAAACATCATTTCTCGTGCAAAAAGCTGCGACGGTCACCTTGCTATCATACAGAAATCAGATCTGGAGATGAGCGGACTTCGGAAAAGCACTGATAGCAGTCGCCACCCCGGGCGGGTACCCAAGAGAGAAATCTATATTTAGGCCGATGACTCAAGGAAGCCGGCAAGCAGGGTGGATGGGTTGTCACTCGCATTCCGTCGCGGGATTTGCAACTTCTCACAATTCCTCATCACAGTCAGTAGAACGCCTACACAACGAGCTAAACAACCGCGCGCACGCACATATATATACATACAAACACACACGGGCGCATTAATACAATAATATATCTACAAAAAATATGCACATTTGGCTCGAGAAACATTTCACTGTCGGGGACTCGAACAGAACCCCTTAGGGACCCGTCCATAAATGACGTCACGCGATTTTGGACGATTTTTGACCCCCCCCCCTCCCCTTTGTCACACGGCGTAACAAAAAGTCAGACCCCCCCTCAAATATGACGTCACGAAGCTTTGCCCCCCCCCCCCCCCCAAAAAAAATGCTTCAAATCGCTTTAAACTATTGTGTAGTGCGTATTTAATGTGGCGCTGCACTTGATGTTGTAGGATAAACATTTATTAAAAAGTCTATTTAATTAAGTAGAACGCGTTGTCTATATTTATTTAAAGTTGCGCATTTTGATGTGACGTCACATTTCTCAACCCCCCCCCACCCCCCTCTCGTCACCCATCGTCACAAATGTCTGACTCCCCCCCCTAAGTGCGTGACGTCATTTATGGACGGCCCCTTACCCCTGGGGGACCCGAGGGCTGGGAAAAGGGGCACAGGGAAGTGGGTGGGGGGGCTCTAGAATAGGGACGGGGGGTGGGGGGGGAATGGAGGTCGGCTGCATATTTTCCGGAACTCAGCCCTGGACATTTCCGGCTCAAATAAAATCTCTGATCTGATGTTCCTCAATTGATGATGATCGACCTCAGGGGGTCTTGGCCATGGACCCCAAAAGTGCCCCCCCCCCTGGCGCCCCCCACTTTTCACAGAGCCCCACGGAGACCCGTCCGGTCATCTCTCACCCTCCACCTCCCCCTCTCACAAATATAAACACCCCAGCCCCCCCCTCCCCCCCATAAAAAACGTAGCGTATCGCGCCTATTGCCACTATCCTGTAAACTCGTGTGGTGAGTCCACCACCACTACGCCCACCACTCCACCACTTCGCCTACCACTCCACCACCATTCCACCACCACTACGCCTACCACTCCACCACCACGCCCACCACTCCACCACCATTACGCCTACCACTCCAACACCATCACTCCTCCACCACTCTACCCCTCTACCACTTCGTCTACCACTCCACCACTTCGCCTACCACTCCACCACCACCACAACAGCAACATCCTCCACCGCTGTCACCGTCACCGTCGTCATCATCATCATCCTCACCACCACGATGACCACGAGGAGGAGGACAGCAGAGTCAATGGCACCGCGCGGTTCACGGAGCACGCAAACACGAGGAGACGCGAGTTTAAATAACCGAGCGCGCCGGAGTGAATCCGAACCGGTGACGGCACCCACGGCGCCCCCTCCCCCCCCCCGAGAGTGTGGGGGGCAATAGCCCCCCTCCGCCCCCACCCGGGAGTGTGGGGGGCACTAGCCCCCCCCCCCCACTCCGCCGTTTTCGCAGCAGCAGCTTCATCATCATCAGCCTGTCTCCTTGGCGATGTCCAGCGGCCACGTGTGCAGCAGGGGTGAGCAGTAGGGGGGTGAGTGGTAGTGGTGAGTGGTAGGGGTGAGCAGTAGGGGGGTGAGTGGTAGGGGTGAGTGGTAGGGGTGAGTGGTAGGGGTGAGTGGTAGGGGGGTGAGCGGTAGGGGTGAGTGGTTGGGGTGAGCAGTAGGGGGGTGAGTGATAGGCGGTAGGGGGGTGAGTGGTATGGTTGGCAAGAGTGAGTGTAAGGGATGAGTGGCTTGTGTGAGTGGTAGGGGTGAGTGGTATGGTTGGCAAGAGTGAGTGGTAGGGGTGAGTGGTAGGGGTGAGTGGTAGGGGTGAGTGGTAGAGGTGAGTGGTAGGGGTTAGTGGCTTGTGTGAGTGGTAGGGGTGAGTGGAATGGTTGGCAAGAGTGAGTGGTAGGGGTGAGTGGTAGGGGTGAGTGGTAGGGGTGAGTGGTAGGGGTGAGTGGTAGGGGTGAGTGGTAGGGGTGAGTGTGGGTGGGGTGAATGGCAGGGATGAGTGGCTTGTGTGAGTGGTAGGGGTGAGCGGTAGGGGTGAGTGGTAGGGGTGAGCGGTAGGGGTGAGTGGTAGGGGTGAGCGGTAGGGGTGAGTGGCAGGGGTGAGTGGTAGGGGTGAGTGGCTGGGGTGAGTGGTCGGGGTGAGTGGTAGGGGTGAGTGGCAGGGGTGAGGTTTCTTGGTCGTCCTTGGCTCCGTGGTGAGCAGCGAGCCCTGCACAAGAGACACGCGGCTTCACTACCGAACCGCTCACGGCGCTGAGCTGCTCCACGCCTCCCGCGCCCCTCTACCTGAACGGGTCTCCGAGTCTCCCCCTGTCTCCCCGTGTCTCCCCGTGTCTCACCGCGAGTCTCCCCTATGTCTCACCCCGTGTCTCCCCGTGTATCCCCGTGTCTCCCCCTGTCTCCCCCTGTCTCTATGTATCTCCCCATGTATCCCTCTGTCTCCCCGTGTCTCCCCGTGTCTCCCCTGTGTCTCACCACGTGTCTCCATGGTTCCACCCATCTCCCCGTGTCTCCCTATGTCTCCCCGTGTTTACCCGTGTCTCCCCGCGTCTCCCCGTGTCTCTCCGTGTTTACACGTGTCTCCCCGTGTCTACCCGTGTCTCCCCGTGTCTACCCGTGTCTCCCCGTGTCTCCCCGTGTCTCCGTGTCTCTCCCGTGTCTCCCCGTGTCTCCCGTGTCTCCCTGTGTCTCTGTGTCTACCCGTGTCTCCCCGTGTCTCCCTATGTCTCCCCGTGCCTCCCCGTGTCTCCCCCGTGTCTCCCCGTGTCTCCCCGTGTCTCCCTGTGTCTCCGTATTTCCCAAGTCTCCCCGTGTCTCCCTGTGTCTCCCCGTGTCTCCCCCTCAGTCTTCGCAATCGACACATCTCCCCGTATCCTCCCGAACTCCCCATCGCCTTTGACGCAATCCAAAATCACTGCGTCCCACAGAAATCTCCCCCCGTGGTTCCCAAGGGCTTTGCCAGTGGCTACCCACGTCTCCCCGTGTCTCCTGGATCTCCCCCATCTCACCACCCCCACCCCCCCACCCCTGTATCTCCCCCCTCCACGTGTCCCCCACTCGGCCCCTGTATTTCCCCCCCCCACCCCCCCCGAGTCTTTTTAAATCCTTTATATTAAGTTCACTTGCTTGCTTGCTTGCGCGCTTACGACCGTGCAAATCTTTCGGTCGTTTTTTAACCCACTTCCCGTGATCCAATGGAGCTGACATTTTGCACACAGACTCGTTGTGTGTAACAATAAATTTTCGTGAAAAAAAATTCCCAAATTTTACACTGTTTCGGGAAAACAAATTAAATATTTAATTACCAATTGCTTAATGGTGGCAGGCAATCATCTGACCCATAGGTGGCAGCCATCTTAAGCCAGAGGACGAGAGGACTCTAGCCGCCACGCATATAAAGGATTTAGAGTGAAAAACTTTGTTTTTACATGTTAATTTTTTGGCTCCCGTTCGGGCCTCCTCTGAACATCTCTGGGGCTCCACGTAGCCCCCTGGATTTCCCCCCTCCCCCACCCCTGATTCATTGCCCATTAACTTCCACTCACAATACGACAACACTCCTTTGTAAGACGACATCACCGCCACACTCCCCCCCCCCCCCACTGCTCTACTCGAGTCACACAGCCGAGGTGAACGAGACATTAGTCTGACAAAGGCGCAGGGACGACGCCTCGCCCATCAATCACGGATTGACACATTTGGGCACGTGGTGGGTTGCGTGGCGAGGTCTGTTGGCCCCCCCATATCCCCCCCACACCCCCAATCTCCCACCCCCCATAGACCACCCCCCCAATCTCCCACCCCCCATATACCACCCCCAATACCCCCCCCGAATATACCCCTCCCCAATCTCCCACCCCCCCCCCCAAAATCTCCCCCCCCAAAATCTCCCCCCCCCATCTCCCCTGTTTCCCATCTCCCCCCATCTCTCCCCTCGCCCCCAACTCCCCCCTCGTCTCCCACCCTCCATCTCCCACCCTCCCCCATCTCCTCCGTCCCATATCCCCCCCTCATCTCCCACCCCCCCAACTCCCCCGTTCCACACCCCCCATATCTCTTTCACCCCCCATCTCCCCCCCACCAATCTCCCACCCCCATCTCTCTCCCCTCTCATCTCCCCCCATCTCTCCCCTCGCCCCCATCTCCCCCCCATGTCCCCCGCCCCCCCCCCCCATCTCTCTAACCTTGCTCCCCCCCATCTCCCCCCCCCCATCTCCCCCCCCCCCCATCTCCCCGTTCCACATCCCCCCCCCCATCTCCCCGTTCCACATCCCCCCCCCATCTCTCACCTTGCTCCCACCACCACACCGCGCCAGGCGCTTCAGAACGCCGTGGCCGCCGTGTCGTCCTGCCCGCACTGCTGCCAGCCACGCGCCGGCCCCCCGCCGCTGGCCACGACCGCGGCGGGCAACGCGCCGTTCTTGACGCCCGCGACGTCGTTGCTGAAACTTTGGTTGTGGTGGCTCCCGTTGGGGGGGCCGTCGTGGTGGTGGTTGGGGGGGGCGCGCTTGCTGTGCTGGTGGGTCTGGTTGCGGCTGGAGCGCACCCACGGTCTCGAGAACGACCGGGACGTGACGGCCACGCGGTCGTATTTGCTCTCAGTCGCCGTGATGTTGCCCATGAACCAGAAGAGCCACCAGATGATGCTCAGGAACACGATGATGGCCCCCGTGTAGATGAGGAAGTCGTAGTAGGCGACCGTGTTGGCGAAGATGCCCACCAGGATCATGACAAGGCCCACCACGTCGAACACCAGGGCCAACACGAAGGCCCATGCACAACGGCCCAAGGAGCGGTTGGAACACTCGGCCATCGAACCTTGGCCAGCCCCGGTTAGACTCCTGGAGAATGAGGCAGGCTGCTAGTGGTGGTGGTGGAGGTGGTGGTGGGTCTTGTTGTTGTTTGTCCAGCGTCTTCTCCTAGTCGCTATCTGGGAGGGCCACCGATTCGCCTGCGCCCAAGATTCGTCGGATTCCCTGGAAATTAATGAGAGGGGGTGATGAGAGGGGGTGATGAGAGGGGGTGATGAGAGGGGGTGATGAGAGGGGGTGATGAGAGGGGGTGATGAGAGGGGAGTGATGGTGAGAGGGGAGATATGGTGAGAGATGGTGAGGGGAGTGATGGTGAGAGGGGAGATGGTGAGAGGGGAGATGGTGAGAGGGGAGTGATGGTGAGGGGAGTGATGGTGAGGGGGGAGAGATGGTGAGGGGAGTGATGGTGAGAGGGGGGAGATGGTGAGAGGGGTGAGATGGTGAGAGGGGTGAGATGGTGAGAGGGAGAGATGGTGAGGGGGGAGAGATGGTGAGGGGGGAGTGATGGTGAGGGGGGAGTGATGGTGAGGGGGGAGAGATGGTGAGGGGGGAGAGATGGTGAGAGGGGAGAGATGGTGAGGGGGGAGTGATGGTGAGAGGGGTGAGATGGTGAGAGGGGTGAGATGGTGAGGGGGGAGAGATGGTGAGGGGGGAGAGATGGTGAGAGGGGAGAGATGGTGAGAGGGGAGTGATGGTGAGGGGGGAGAGATGGTGATGGGGGAGAGATGGTGAGGGGGGAGAGATGGTGAGGGGGGAGAGATGGTGAGGGGGGTGAGATGGTGAGGGGGGAGAGATGGTGAGAGGGGTGAGATGGTGAGAGGGGTGAGATGGTGAGGGGGGAGAGATGGCGAGAGAAGAGAGACGGTGAGAGGGGAGTGATGGTGAGAGGGGAGTGATGGTGAGAGAAGAGAGATGGTGAGAGGGGAGAGCTGGGACACCTACCGGTGGTGGAGGTGGTGGACTTTCGGCACTGGTGGTGGACCCTTGCAGGTACTGCTGGACTCTACGTACCGGTGGACTTTCCGTGCTTGCTGGTGGTGGACCCTCAATGCTGGTGCGGATCTGTTCCTTGAGCACTCCCCACCGCGTTGGCAAACTTTCAGATGCAACGGTGGACCCCCAGGGGGTCTGGTCGACCTTCCGTGCTGCTTGTATAGCCAGCAACTTGAGAGGTGGCTTGCGGAAATGTGGAGGCGTTCCGCCTGGAATCCCAGCGGAACTTCTGCCCTTCCAGACGTCGCGGTCAACTCCCAGAGGAACTGGTCGACTCCCAGATGAACTGGTCAACTCCCAGAGGTTCCGATCGACTCACAGATGAACTGGTGGACAACTCCCAGAGGTTCCGGTCGACTCACAGATGAACTGGTCAACTCCCAGAGGTTCGAATCGACTCACAGATGAACTGGTCAACTCGCAGAGGTTCCGGTCGACTCCCAGATGAACTGGTCAACTCCCAGAGGTTCCGGTCGACTCACAGATGAATTGGTCAACTCCCAGAGGTTCAGGTCGACTCACAGATGAACTGGTCAACCCCCAGAGGTTCTGATCGACTCACAGATGAACTGGTCAACTCCCAGAGGTTCTGATCGACTCCCAGATGAACTGGTCAACTCCCAGAGGTTCCGGTCGACTCACAGAGGAACTGGTCAACTCCCAGAGGTTCTGATCGACTCACAGATAAACTGGTCAACTCCCAGAGGTTCCGGTCGACTCACAGATGAACTGGTGGACTACCAGAGGTCCCGGCAGACTCTCGGTGGAGGTGGATCGTTGGAGCTCCGCGCTGTGCCGCGCTGACAACTTTGTTGTGTTTTTTGCGCAATTGGAGGCGGTGATGACGCCCCTGCGATGCGCATTCAACCCAAACCGGTTACACGCCTCCCTGCAGCGTGCGCGCGTGTGTGTCTACCTGTGTGTGCGTGTGTGTCTATATGTGTTGTGTGTGTGTTTCTACGTGTGTGTGTGTGTGTGTCTACCTGTGTGTGTGTGTGTCTACATGTTGTGTGTGTGTTTCTACGTGTGTGTGTGTGTTTTTACGTGCGCGTGTGTGTGTCTACCTGTGTGTGTGTGTCTATATGTGTGTGTGTGTTTTTACGTGTGTGTGTGTACGTGTGTGAGTGTTTTTACATGTGTGTGTGTTTTTACGTGTATGTGGTTTTACGTGTGTGTGTCTATATGTGTGTGTGTCTACATGTGTGTGTGTACGTGTGTGTGTGTCTACGTGTGTGTGTGTACGTGTGTGTCTATATACATGTGTGTGTACGTGTGTGTTTCAACGTGTGTGTGTGTACGTGTGTGTGTGTCTACGTGTGTGTGTTTTTACGTGTGTGTGTTTCTACGTGTGTGTGTACGTGTGTGTGTGTCTACGTGTGTGTGTGTCTACGTGTGTGTGTGTTTTTTCGTGTGTGTTTCAACGTGTGTGTGTTTACGTATGCGTGTGTGTCTACGTGTGTGCGCGTGAGTGTGTTTCTACGTGTGTGTGTACGTGTGCGTGTGTGTACCTGTCTGTGTGCTGGCCACCCACCCCCTCGTGTGCCGTGTTGGCCCTTTATCGGAGTTCGCTAACAACACTTGTCCCAAAAGTCTATTTCGACTATATAGGGGATCTTTGTGTGTGGGGAGAGAGCGGTGGCGCAGTGGTTAGCGCTCCACTGCGCTATGAAATCATTCAAGGCTCGAATTCATTTCCCATTCACAGGCAACATCGGTGTCGATTTGTTTAACCTAGGTCGACTCAGCCTTAAAATGAATACCAGGTGCGGTGTGTAAAAAACACACCACGGGAGGCGACAAAAGCGGTCGGGGGTGGGGCTGGCCACCCACTCCCTCGTGTGCCGTGCCGGCCTTTATAGGTGCTACTCGCTAACAGCGCTTGCCCCAACAGTCTGTTAAGGCTATATGGGGGATATTTGTCTTTGTTGTGTATTTATTTAACTGTAAGTGCGGGAACCTGTTCTTAATCACACGGCAAACAATCCACCTCGTGCCCCCGTGTCCCCGTCTTCTCCGTGTCTCTGTCTCCCCGTGTCTCTCTCCCCGTGTCTCTGTCTCCCCGTGTCTCTCTCTCCCCGTGTCTCTCTCTCCCCGTGTCTCTCTCCCCGTGTCTCTCTCCCCGTGTCTCTCTCTCCCCGTGTCTCCCCGTGTCTCTGTCTCCCCGTGTCTCTCTCTCCCCGTGTCTCTCTCTCCCCGTGTTTCTGTCTCCCCCCGTATCTCTCTCCCCGTGTCTCTCTCCCCGTGTCTCCCCATGTCTCTCTCTCCCCGTGTCTCCCCCGTATCTCTCTCCCCGTGTCTCTATCTCCCCCCGTATCTCTCTCCCCGTGTCTCTATCTCCCCGTGTCTCTCTCTCCCCGTGTCTCCCCGTGTCTCTCTCTCACCGTATCTCTCTCCCCGTGTCTCTATCTCCTCGTGTCTCTCTCTCCCCGTGTCTCCCCGTGTCTCTGTCTCCCCGTGTCTCTGTCTCCCCGTGACTCTCTCTCTCTCTCCGTGTCTCTGTCTCCCCGTGAACTCGCTAACAACACTTGTCCCAAAAGTCTGTGAAGGCTACACTGGGGGTGGGGGATCTTTGTCTTTGTGGGGAGCGCCTTGCTGTGGTGGAGAATCAAGGTGGTTGTGGGGAGCGGTGGCGCTGCAATTGGCGCACTGCGCTATCACCCGAGTTGTATTCCTGGCCACGGCGGTGTGCGAAACGTCGGGCACTTGGGAGACGGAGACACGGGGAGAGAGAGAGACACGGGGAGACAGAGACACAGGGTGAGAGAGAGACACGGGGAGACACTGGGAGAGAGAGACACGGGGAGAGAGAGACACGGGGAGAGAGAGACACGGGGAGAGAGAGACACGGGGAGACAGAGACACGGGGAGAGAGAGACACGGGGAGAGAGAGACACGGGGAGACAGAGACACGGGGAGAGAGAGACACGGGGGGTGGTGTGGGGTGGACAGAACCACGCCCGGCCACCTTTGTCTCCCTAGGGATCATGTTTTCCGCTCCCCACCAGGTAGTCGGGGTTCGGCTCACTGACGCTGGCCCTGAGCTGGGATTGAACTTCGTGTTTGTGGCGCGCAGTACGGAAACCACTGCACCAGAGCCACAGCCACACACACAAATCCACAGCCACACACACACAGCCACAGGCACACACACAAAGCCACACACACACACAAAGCCACACACGCACACGAAGCCACACACGCACACGAAGCCACACACACAAATTCTAGATTTGAAGCTTTCGTGACTGCAAGGATTCATACTCTTAGTTCTTTCGGTAAAGTCACGTAGGTAAAAAATGAAATAAAAATTTATAAAAATAAAACAATAAAAATAACGACGTTTCGGAGGCAACACAAGCTTGTGTGTGTGTACTCTTAGTTCTTTCGGTAAAGTCACGTAGGTAAAAAATGAAATTGTGTTGCCTCCGAAACGTCGTAATTTTTATTGTTTTATTTTTATTAATTTTTATTTCATTTTTTACCTACGTGACTTTACCGAAAGAACTAAGAGTACACACACACAAAGCCACACACACGAAGCCACACACGCACCCTGACAACACGGCCACACACCAGCAACAAACGCACACTCAAACACAAGACAAACATACCCCGTATAGCCTTAACAGACTGTTGGGGCAAGTGCTGTTTGCGAGCACACGAGGGGGGTCGGTGGCCAGCACCACGCCCGGCCGCTTTTGTCTCCCCGGTGGTACTCATTTGAGGCTGAGTCGACCTAGGGGAGCCCCAAGATCGGTTCAGATAATCGTCACTGATGTTGGCCATGAGCGGGAATCGAACTGGGGTCGCCCGGTTCGGAGTGCAACGCGCTAACTGCTACGCCACCGCTCCCTACTGACACACACCTACAGGATTAGAAGATACACACAGACACGCACACAGACACACACACAGACAACAACAACAACCGCCATTCGCCACTAAGTGGCGGTGACATCACCACGACGCTTGTGCCAGGCTATGTGCACTTTGAGGCCACGTGAAGTGTCGAATGCCCGCTGACAGGAGGTCACGGGGCAGACCCAGCAGGTGCCACGGGTCGACTGACTGAGATGACCGAGATGACTGGCTGATGCACCACATGTGCCCCCTACTGTGCCAACTTGCTGTGCTTTAGCAACCTGGCGCTCTGCTCGTTGTTGTGAGCGTCGCTGCTCCACCCTCCATTGTTGTTGGAGGGCGACTGCCTCCAACTGCCCAGCAGCAGCGTCCTTCACGAGCCTCCTCCACAGAGGCCAACCTTGACACCGCTGGTACCAGTCATCGGCAAGTCCACTCAGCTCCACATCCTCCTGTACCACATCACTCCATCTCTTCTCTATCCCGTGCCGCGCCCGTTTAGCCCCCTCAATCCGGCCAAACAAAAGCTGCCTGCCAGAGGAGCTCGCCAATGGGACTTTGCCCAGATCTTTAAAGGATTTGTGAGCTCCTCACACAATCCAGCCTGGTTAAACCCAGGATGGATCGTAGGCAGGCTCGCTTAAGAAGAGAGGGAATGAACGTGGCCGAGAAGACTTGAAGCTTCGTGCTGAGCGACAGACCAGGTAGCTTTCACACAGCGTCACGCAACCGATGAAAAGATATTGCCGCTCGACTGATTCGGAGTGAGACCTCTGCTGTTAAACTGGAGCCGGTCATAAGCACACTGCCCAGGTATGGGAAACTCTCCACTCTCTCCACAACTGTCTCATTACCGATTGGGAGTTGTGGGGGTGGAGTAGCACGCTCCAGTTTCAGCATCAGCGCCCCCAACTCCTCCTCTGAGTGAGCGGCAATTACCAGATCATTGGCATACATAACGTGGTTGACCAATAGGGAGCTATCCCTTTACCGCACCCGGGCATCAATCAGCCTCCCATTGTATCTGTACCAGATGGAAATTCCTCTGGTACAGCCGTCAAAGGCTTCACGGACTACATGGTCGAAATAAATGTGAAATAATGTTGGAGCCAGAGGACATCCCTGTCGCACCCCAAGGTGAACAGGGAATGGCTCGGACTCCCGGCCACCATCATGAAGGTCCTTAATGATTGTGAGCAGAGGATTAGGGACTCCGAAAGCACGAAGAACAACCCAGAGCCCAGGCCTACGGATGGTATCATAGGCCTTGACCAGGTCAACAAAGCAGATATGTAGGTCTTGTTGGAATTCCCTACACCTCTGCTATAGCAGAGGTGTAGGGAATTCCTGGCAATATCCTTGCCAGGACCTTTCCCGGCACACTGAGAAGTGAGATGCCCCTGTAGTTACAGTCTGTGCGGTCCCCCATCTTAAAGAGGAGAACCACAAGGGCATCCTTCCAATCCTGCGGAACCCGTCCAGTGGTCCAGACTGTTGTTATGATGTCATGTAGGGCAGTCTGTGCACAAACGCCACCCTCCCTCAGCATTTTACTTGGGAGATAATCTCTGCCCAGTGCCTTTCCTGGTCTCAGACTCTGGATCGCCTTTAGCACTTCCTCAACATATGGCACCTCAGCCAGCCACTCACAGGGGGTGACTTCCTCTTCCAATATTTGAGGCACCGCAGCCTCAGCTGGGTCATCCTCACTTTGTCCCACGATGTGTTCCATTTAGAGGGATTTCCCCTCCCCAGGAATTCACAAAAATGCTCAGCAAATCTGCAAACCTGTTTCTGGGGGTCGGAGATTGGATCCCCGTTTCTTCCCCTAATGATGGTAATAGGTGTGGCGCTGCAGGTTATTTTTTTTATTGAGTTAAATAGGGATTTGTGATCGCGGACCATTGAGGCAAACTCCATCTCCTCAGCAACCCGCGACCACCACCCATCCTTGCAGCGCCTCACGGCTCTCCGAACCTCCGAGCGAAGGCTGTGGTAAGCCTCCTCATTCTCTGACGTGGGATTCTGTAGGCGATGAGAGTGGGCCTGTCGCTTTTTCTCAGCCATCTTGTACACCTCCTCTGTCAGCCAGGGTCTTTGGGGAGGTCTGGATCGCGTACTCAAAGCAGCCATTGCGGCTGCCTGCGTCACAGTCCTAAACCTTGCCCATTTACCCTCGACATCTGGAGGAGTGGGGGACGATGCCAACCCCAGCCGCAAACGATGATGAAATTCTCGTTTGCAACTTTCATCAGCTAGCTGAGACCAGGCCACCTTAGGTTTGAATGGGGTCCTGGGTGTACACCCACCACCAGAGTGGAAGAATGTCAGGGGCATCTTACAGATGACAAGTCAATAGTCAGAGGGCAGATCAGCTCCACG